ATATCAAAGAAGTCTTTGTAGCCACACTGAACCAGCGCTACGCTCTCGGATGCCATCATGTAGTCCATGCTCTTGCCGTCTTGCGACTTACGAGAACCTAGTACCATGGGGCGGATACCGTACGGGTCGCGGAAACCGATGAGACCGAAACCTGGGACGATGGTCAGTACCTATACAGTCACGATATTGGGCATCTCGTTGACGTACCAGCAAGCATAGCAGTGCAGGCCCATCCACCAGTACACAACTTATACATCCTCTCCAACGCCTTGAAGCAATCATCAGCGTTGATACGCGCCTTGCCTGTCTCGTTGAGCTCATCGGCGAAGATGTTGAGCATGAGCTCGCTATCACTCTCGGTGTTGATGTGCCTGTGAGCCTCGTGGTCCAGTCGCTGGCGCAGCGCGGGGGCGTTGATGAGGTTGCCGTTGTGGGTCATGCAGATACCGTACGGGCTGTTGACGTAGAAGGGCTGAGCTTCAGCGTTCGCGCTGCTACCGGCAGTGGGGTATCGCAGGTGGCCGAGGCCCATGAAGCCGGGAAGGTCGGACACGCGGGCGCCGTCTTGGAAGACCTTGGAGGCCATGCCGTTGCCCTTGCACTGGTGAAAGCGACCACCGGCACTGCAACTGACTATTCCGGCAGCATCCTGGCCGCGGTGTTGGAGAAGGTAGAGGGCGTCATGCACCTCGACCGAAGCCGATTGCGACTTGGGGTCGCCGTGGATCACAGCAATAATACCGCACATGTCGACGTGATGGTGGGGTGTGAGGGGCTTAAGAGCAGAAACTAAGGTTTATATGCTAACAAGACGCGTCAGTTTACGGTAACAATTCGGAAGACGCGGAATGTTTGTAAGTGGGGGGTGGTCTCTCAGGAAGTCGTTGTGCGCTCATTGGGAATCGCAAGTCTAACATCTTTATAATATGACAAGATCATCATAGGGACGGTGGGTAGACAAAAGACGAACGGGAATAACGTACCCTGAAGTTTTTCGCACGTCTCACCAAAGAGGGGATATGGTGAAAGAAGAAGAGTTGATAGTGTGGCCGTTGGGCTCTAGGTGTAGCAGCAGTCCATCTACTCTGGCGGTGATGTGCTCAATGTGGGCGTCGTCGTCTTCGTAACGTCGTCGCGGGATTGTTGTCCCAGCTGGTGATGGCGTTCGGGCTCATGGTTATTGGAAGTAGGAGCTCTCTAGTGGGGAAGGGGCAGCATGATAAACAATTTTTTTCCTCGCCGCACCTGCACTCCCGCTCTTTGGGGCTTGGCGCCGTTCCCAAGCCGATGCCGCAACTCCACATCGTGCTACTTCCCTCTGATACAACCAAACCCATCGTCGGAAAGCGAAACCCTCTCGGCGTCTACGCTCGCAGCCAAATGTCATGACAGACAGACTTTGTTGGTGACAACAGTTCTTGTATCCTGCCTCCTTGGTTTCCACGACTCGAGCCATGGTCTTTTCTATTCTCCCTGGATTTCCTACCTGCACCCTATACAAGAGAAAAACCGAACAGGTAGAGATAGTAAGCTCTACTTTGCAGCTTACATTAGCTCCTAACAAGAGAGATTATAGGATTTAATAGTATTGTAGGCTTCTAGATTCTCTATGTATGTCTATATAGCTCTATTGCGCTTCGTTGTAGTAAGAAGGAGTACTCTGCTCAAGCGAGATATTTAGTTTCTCTCTTTGGCGTAGTGCTTGTAGAGTTGCGGCATTTGAGTGAGCAGGCAATGCCACTGCCTAGCTCAAGTGCTCTTCGCAAAACACGCTAAGAACACGCGCCACCTACACCAAAGATCATGTTGCATACATAGCTCGACCGTCAGACTGTGGACGCCGCCTTGTCACTCCATTTGACTTCCCTGTTACGCGACATCGCGAACAAGCCAAAGTTAACAGCATGACTAACAATACCTACATTGGTTACTAACGCCTCGTCCTGGTCTGGTAACCCTTTTGCGCACCAAATCTCGCCACAATCTCACCAGCAACCATCACGTGAAAGCTACCATCAGTAACATACCTGATACAGAAAGACGCCCATCAGCACTTGGTCAAATACCGTCCGCCCACCTTATAAGATCAAAACCAAAATGAGGATAAAGATGAGAGCGAAGACTGCGCTGCGCCTGAATCGTTGCCAACACCGCGCATTAGCCATTGTCTTCCCACCATGACGGCAACATCCGAACATCTCGAAGCTTTTGCGCCCTTAACCTGGGCCACACCGTACCTCACTTCCCCGAACTGGGTTGCTTGCGAACGCCAGCGAGGCACCGAATCAGGTGAAGATACGGACCGATTTTGCCGCGACACGATGCGCGCGAATAATGGCGTCCGACACTGGCTAGAGCTCTACGAGAAACCTGCGCCTGGCGCCAAAGTCACAAAATCCATATCTCTGATCAAATATGGTACCGGCTTGAACGGCTTCCCAGGCATCTGTCACGGTGGCGCGCTATTGACGCTCATGGATGAAGCAATGCTGCACATCCTTGTCGCCAATACAGTGCTTGAAAACGGCCTTGGCTTTATGAAAGTTGGGGAAGACTATTGGAGGCTACAGCTCCATGATGGAAAGTCGGCACAAGAGGTGCTCAAGGGCCGATTAGCGACGGCAACAATGGACGTGAAACTCCTGGCGCCGGTGCTTTGCCCAGGTGTTGTCGGCATTGAGACGGAGGTACTTGAAGACAGAATCACCAAGATGAAGATGAAAGCTACGATGAGGGATCGACAGGGCAAGCCGTTACTCAAAGTGGAAGGATTGTGGGTCAAGATTCGCGGTGCAGCAAAACTATAACTGCGGGCAGCAATCTTGTACCAAATGTACCACGGGAATCAGACACACTTTTACGATAGTCCTCTAGGCTCTTGTTTTTCCTCAAACAAACTCGAGTAACTTGCCACCAAACGTCTATCCCCATCACACGTGCGCAGGGATCCCGGTTGATTTCGCATTGATCTCGGACACACTAACCAATACGAGACCTTTAATCTATTGGTCCTTCCTGCAACGGCAAACCTCCGGGGCCAGTACCTGTAGTAATGTGTGCACTGTGCAGCATGTAAACACACATGCTACCCCTCTGACCTACCATTCGCCATGACGTCTGAGGTAACCTAACCCATCTAGCACCACACCTGCGAGTCACTGCATCAGACATCAAGGTCTTTGTATACTTAAGAGTAAAGGTGTATTGACATGAAGACTACATACACCATCAAGTTGACGAGTTCTCATCACAAGTCAAGATGTATCCCTTTCTGACGTCTGTTTGTGCTCTCTCCACGCTACTTCCTCTAGCCATCGCCCAAACCTCTGGGACGTTCAATACTCTTACGTTCAATGTCGCTGGCCTACCTGCCCTTCTAAACGGCAACGATGTTCCTGGAGATAAGGAGACCAACACCGCCCGCATCGGCCAGCTGTTCTCTAAATATGACATCTCTGTCATCAACGTTCAAGAGGACTTCAACTACCATGCTACGCTCTACGCCAATGATGACCATCCTTATAGAACAGCTACAAGCGGGGGAGTGCCCTTTGGTAGCGGCTTGAACACTCTGAGCAACTATCCTTTTACAGGCTTTCAGAGAGTCAAGTGGAACACATGCAGTACTTTTGAGTAAGCCAAGTCTGCACAAACGCGGAAGACAGATTAGCATCAGTATGATACTAACAAGCACCCCTCGAACAGTAGTGCAGACTGTCTCACACCAAAAGGCTTCACCTTCATGCGCGTTAAGCTGGCTGAAGGCGCAGTAGTGGACATGTACAACCTACACGCCGATGCCGGGTAAGTCATCTTTACTCTTCCATAACTTTGAACCACCCACTCATCGTTTCATCAGTACCACTGCCGCGGACAACAAGGCCCGCGCGGCCAACCTCCGCCAGGTATCCGACTACATCAAAACCAACTCAGTCGGCAATGCAGTGGTCGTCTTCGGCGACTCGAACTCGCGGTACACGCGCACCGACGACATTCCTGACGTGTTCAAGACCGAGAATGGTATGACAGATGTTTGGCTGCAGCTTGTCCGCAACGGTGTTGCGCCCGCGAAAGGTGCTGATGCTCTGCTCTGCTCGAACCCGTCCACTACCAACACATGCGAAATCGTCGACAAAACCTGGTACCGTGGATCTTCTGCTTTGACACTTACGGCAAAGACATTCGACTATGCAGGTCACATGTTTCTCCAAGAGAACGGCGACCTGCTTAGTGACCACAACGGTGTGCTCGTGGACTTTTCCTGGAGTCTGGTCAACAGCGTCGCAGTCTCCGATGTCTTTGGCGGCGAAGAAGGTACGTGGTACAATGATCTGAGCACCGTCGCCGGTCTCGCCGGCCCAAAAGTTTCTTCAATTACGCTTCGTGGTGCGGAGCGCGTGGATGCAGTTTCCGTGACTCTGGCTTCTGGACAGACGCTTTCGCATGGTGGGACTGGTGGCACAGCGACTACTTTAACCTTGGCTACTGGAGAGACGCTTACTTCTGCGCAGCTGTGTCAGGGTCAGAAGAACGGTAAGACCAGAATCTTCTATGCGCAGTTTACTACTAGCGCTGGGAAGACGATATCTGCTGGTGTCAAGACCAGCGACTGTGTGACGCGAACCGCCGATACTGGCCTCAGTATTGTCGGTTTCCTTGGTCGTTCAGGCGACGAAGTCGACCAGTTAGGTCTCATCTACTCCAAAGCTTAGTGGTAATGGGTTTCAAGTAGCTTCGCAAGTCAAATCGATGGAATACCTCATGACGTAATAATGTCCATTAACCTGGTCTCGTATCGTACATGATCATGAAATCTGTCTTCCACCTTCCAGAACGATGTGAATACAAAACAATAAAGAAGAAAGAAACAAAAGAGTATATCATCCTGAGCCTCCATACTAATGAAACGAAACATAACACTGTTCACCCATGGCGATACTTTTCCAAGACACCAAAAGAGCTCAGCTCCTTGGCCTGCTTCATCCTAGAGACGTGAAGCTCTAAGTGTAAATCCAATACTGTGCTTCATATTCCACAGTAACCACCTCTCCGGGAGCCATACCAGCACAAGATGCTGGGGCCATACCGCCGACGGTGTTAAGACGGTACACCATCTTGACATCGCTGCTCGAGCCCGTTTGTGCCTCAAGCCTCAACCATTTCACATTCTTGGTCGCGTCATCAGGCGCGGGTACATCATCAATCTTCTTGGCCACAGTGTTACCGAGGCCGAGAATATCGAAATCAGGCGTTGTGTTGTCGAGGAAAAAGTGCGCGCCGATGGATGCGGTCTCTTCGATGGAACCTAGAGAGGCGGTGCCAGCGGTAGGATTGGAAGAGAGTTCGCACGAGGCATTGAAGAGTTGGGCTACTGCACCAATAGACGAAGGAATGGCCGTTGCGTTGCTGCAGGTGTAATTCTGTGTGCCTTGGCCAAGGGCAACGAGGACAAGAGACATGTCGGCTGTTGGTGGTGGCAAGCTGGAGGGCGGTTGCTGGACGCCACTGAGGTCACAAAGGGGAGTTGTGGATTCCGTGGGCTCGTCAGGAGTGGTTGTGTCGGCAGTGCCATTTTCACAGTTCTGACGAGGATAGAACGATGGACGGCGAGATGGTGCTGACATAGCGAAGGGAATGAGCGCGATGGCTGTGAAGAAGATGGAAGTACGCATAGTGATGGCTGTTGACAACGAATGCTTTTGAGAGTTGATAGACTTTTGTGTACCGTGAACCCGTGGATAGGAAAGAAGATGTTGAGTCCCAAAATTAATGCGAACACGAACGAATGTAGAGCTACCAGAGCCCGAAGAAAAGACTGAAGAATGAGAAAAGAGGGTTTCTTGATATTAGCGGAACGACTGTGCTGGCTATGGTCCGATTAGAACGAAGAAGTCTAGACATATATATACAGTCTCTGTCTCTCTTTTCTCGGACCTACTCTGATAATTTTTACATGGATTTAGATTGCGAATGCAAGTGACCAGGTGTTCCAACGTTTGACATGTTCCTTAGGTCGATGTTGGTGTTTCGGCAGGATTGGGACACGTTGGGTCATGGATTAACGGTTGTAGTTGCCGTGCTGTTAGGCGGGAAGTCTCGCGTAAAGAGATGTGTCGCGAGTCAGGGTGGTTGACGGACAGTTGAAACGATCAATCCAGCCTTGCGGTAAAAGAGCGGTTGCAGCGTTCGCACAGACAGGCAACCCGTAGATCCATCGGCGCTTGCCAAGCTGTTAAACATCCTGAAGATCTAGTGACTCAATCAACGGTAGATGAGGTGGAGGAGATTGTGACATGTTGCGAGATCCGTGGTACTACGTGCCACGATCCTCCGTCGTTAAGCCTCAGGCAAGAGAAACGCTAGCTCCGTTGGGACGCGCCTGAAAAGAGCCGCAATCTCACCCTGACGCTGCGGCCTGGATACAGGAGCATCTGATCAAGGAAAGGTAGGTAACGATGCTGAAACGGTATCTGGGTACCTGCAGGACCTGCCACAAAGCCTGAAACGTGGGGAGGAGTCGGCGGGCCGAAGTGGGTAAGAAACATACAGTTCGTCTGCCATCACACTGAAACAGTCGTGACCGTTGCCCAACCACGCCGCAGTCATCGAGCAGAACCACAATGCTTTTCCCAAATGTTGGTATTCACGTGTGCCGCTCGTCACCTGCAGGCAGGATGTCATCGCCCGTTTCCCCAGACAACGAACGTAAGAGAAACCCCAGACCGGTGTAGAAGGGAGGAGTTGTCCCGCATTAGTGCAAGACCATCAGGATGTCAACCTGCATGTCCGGGTTCGAGACCGTGCGATGGCCTCTCCCTAGATTTCTAAGGGTTCGTCGGCACTTGTGGCAAAATGCGGAGTGACGCGAACGGTATTCGTCCGGGTCGTACATGACGATCGTGGCAGGACTCGAAAAAACGGTAAATTGCAATGTAAGATCTATCGGCGTTGCTGGAGATTCGGAGAGTCGCGTCGTCATGGTCCGAATCATAATACGACGGGCGTATCGTCGGCCCTGAGTTCGTCGCAATCGGATCGAGCTAGCGCTTTGCTCTTTCCTTAGCTCCGCCTCAGCCTACACGTGTGTGCACTACGCAACGCCTTTGTGTAATTACTGTGTAGAAATACGCTGCCTCAGTTCAACTGACATGATATTCTAATCATCTCCGAGGCAATCATGGAGCGAAGAGTCAGCCTCAAAGATCTTATCCGGAATGCTGGCGTCATACCCGTGGACCAGCGCCAAGCAGTTCTACCGGCCCCAACACAGCCGGCGGTGTCAGTCAGTGAGGAGGACATCTCCCAGGCCCGGAACATTCTACTTGATCGAAGAGCCAAGAACCCAGAAAGCAAGAATGTGCTGAAAAGCATCTTCAAGAGTTCGAAAGAGAAGGACAAAGGACAAGATGCAGGGCAGTTCTCGCAAGAGGAGCTTGACCAAGCTTTATCCGCCGTCATTCGCAGTCCAACGACAGGACCCGGCCTGATCCAAGCTTTCCTCACTCTAGGCGCAAAAGTCAATATCATCGAGACAACTGACAAGAAGAGAAGATCAAGCAACCAGGCCAACACAGCATTGCGACGCCGTAGCACGGTCTTACAGCAGGCAGCGAGTCTGAGGAAGGCTGATGGTGTCAACATCCTCGCTAGCTCCGGCGCGGACCAACAAACTTTGGACGAAGGACTGAAAGCTGCTCTCACTGCCAACGATCAAGAGAGCATAGGTCTGCTACTACGTCATGGAGCGGACCTGAACAACTTCCCCAACGCGCTAGCGAATGCGGTGCGATCAAACGACCTGAACTTCGTTAAGCTCTTGTTGAGAGCACCGAAGCCACTTCGGCCTCAGATCATTTCATCATGCCTGCCCGCTGCAGTTCAGCAAGGTTCAGATGCCATCATATCTTTACTGATTGCATATGGTGCTGATCCGAATTTCGACTCAGCAAGCGCTCTGAATATGGCCATTGGGAGACAAGCCTACAAAATAGCTATTGCTTTGGTTGCCGGACCGATACCACTAAACGAACCAAATCTCCAGCATGCGCTGGATACTACCATGCGGCTGCCCACACGCCAGGCAACGCTACAGTTCCTGCAACTCTTGTTCTGCTGTGGACTTCCCCCTGACAGTCGTGGTCTACCAGACTTTCTTATCTTTTTGGCGAGAAGTAACGACTCTTCTGGTGCGAAGATGATGGTCAGTTATGGCGTACCGACCACAACCAATGACGCTGAGTGTCTAAGAGAGGCCATAGAGAACTCGAACTGGGGCCTGGTGGACGTTATCCTTCAGACACCTATCGCTCCTCAGCATGCGACAGTAGCACTTTCTGTTTTGCCAACAAATACCCCGCAGTCGGATAGACTTCGCGTAGTCGACGCCTTGCTAAAGAAAGGCGCAACGGGTCTCGCCCTCAGCCCGCTACTCACACAAGCTACGAAGGAGAGAGACGCTCAGTTGATAGATCTCCTCCTTAGTGCAGGAGCGCCAGTCGATGTGAGCGACAACAGTGCCCTTCATTTTGCAGTGGTCAACAGAGATATTCGGAGTCTTCGATCCCTTCTCAACGCTCGTCCTCCGCCGGAAAGCCTGGCTAGTTTATTTCCCCTTCTTTCCCGTACCGACGCAATCTCGATATCTGAGCGGCGTGAGATCGCAAGATTGTTACTCGAGCATGGTGCACGGGGCCCCGGCGTTGATCAGGCTCTAATCGATGCAATTGCAGACACTTCGGCTGGACGGGATGGAGCTCTAATAACAGACCTGGTTCGAGGAGGGGCAAATGTTGATAAAAGGGCTTTGTCGTTGGCCGTTACACAAGTCGACATGTCTCTTCTGCGATTGCTCTGCAATACCAGGCCCGATTCTTCGTCGACTTCGGCAGCCCTACCTCTGGCTTTTGACTCGCAGTCCAGCCGACACTCGAAGACATTCGAGATTATAGATTTGTTCCTTAGTCACGGGGTTGAAGAGGAGCCAGCAGGTCAAGCCTTGCAAATTGCCATCAACGGCGGCCCCGACAATATTGACATCATCGAAAGACTCCTTACTGCAAGCCCTAGATTACTGAGCACTGCTTTCAAGTACACTTCAGCGCTTCAAGATCCGCAGAAGAAAGCACCGATACTCAGTGCTCTTTTGAAGTTGGGAGTACCGCAGGACTCACTCGACCAGGCTCTTGTCACAGAGACACGACAAGCCATCACCACAAACGACACTACCAGTACTAAGTTGCTATTAGGACAAGGAGCATCTGTGAGTCACAACGATGGCGAGGCGTTGAGTGTTGCGGTAGCTTCAGGAAACAGCTCGCTAATGGTATTGTTACTCAGTGGACATCACCAACCATCACGATCTAGCGTCACGCGGTCCTTCCGTACGTTATTTTCCAACGACAAGTTATCACTAGACGGGAGCAAGGAGAACATCGGTGAAATGGCAAAAGAACTACTGGTTCATGGCGTAGAACAATCTGCCATCGACGCTGCTCTACGATCGGTTCTTGGAAGCGACTACGACAGTAAGTACACGGACTCATGGGTAGATTTGTTACTCCAAAGTCATGCCGATGTCAATACGGTAGAAGGTTCATGCTTCGTCTTCGCAACACAAAAGCACAGTCACACCATCTTTGACAAGCTCATGCATCACAACCCCAATTTCAACATAGTTGTCCCAGCCTTGTTGAGTTCCAAGCTTCAAGACGAAGTAGTCGTTGCCGCAATACAATCATGCTTCGATCACGGTTGCACACTTGAAGAAGTCGGTATCGGATACAACAAGCCACCGATACTCATTACCGCCATGACTGTGTACCCACGCAATAGTGCACTCCTCACACTATTGTTGACAAACGGCTTAGACGCGGAGATTACCATCCCCATGGTTCTCCATTCGTCCAGCGGACCCGAACCCGTCCCCGCACTCTTGTGGGCACTAGCACAACCACAAAAGCGTATTTCGGACGCCGTTATCTCCGCGCTTCTGGAAGCTGGAGTATCCGTAACCCGAGTTTCTCCTATTTCGGAGACTACGGCGCTGATGCTCGCCGCTCGCGAGGGACGTCATGAGATAGTAAGTGCACTAGTCGTGCGGGGTACGGATGCGGATCTTAGAGATGCCTGGAACAAATCCGCACTGTACTACGCTAGTAGCAGTTTGTCTGGGGAAGCCACAGTGAAGGCGCTAGTGCCGCGCGTGCTAGGGAACGATGGAAGCTTACATGAGGCGGTCAGACAACTCAATATCGAAGTCGTGAGGGTGTTGTTGGAGCATGCACATGATCCGAATTATCCTTCCCGTCTTCATGGCGGCAGAAATGCTCTAGGAGAGTTATGTCTCAAGGCAACGGTCACCACATCAGCACATCGCTCAAAGCTTCGCCAGCTTTTACGTCTTCTTCTGCGCAACCGCGCAAATCCCAAATTCCGTGCCCGTAACGAAAAGTCGACTGTTATCCTTGCGCTCGATAATGCCTACAGCGCGCTCCCCGTCGCTGAGGCCTTGCTGGAAACAGAAATATGGCAAGATCTCAATGACGAAGCCCACATCTACTGCGACCCAGCCTCAGGCCTCCACTACTCTCCATACTCCTACGTTGAACTCGTAGCCACACCTGCCCGCGCCCCTGTCAAACAGACTCTTCTTGACCTTCTGTGCGACAAAGCC